CCTAGAAAACAGGAGAGAACTAGCAAATTAGTTTATTAATTAATTAATTTAAATAATTAAATTTAATTTAAATTAATTTAAATTAATTAATGTAATTAGTGAATTACACATACACACACACAAATACATGCATGTCTACAAACTTATTTCCATTTCTACTTTTGAGGGAATACCATTAAGTATAGGTTATCTGATGCAATGTTTGTGTTCTGGGCCTCCCCATCTTCCTTCGATTTACTGTATTTTTTTTTTAACATATTTTGTCTTTATAGCAGAGAAGAGACAAACCTTTCTCCCTCCAGACGGAATTCTCTCTGGTGACAAAGTAAGATTTAGGATTCCCTCAAACAGGGATCCTACAGGCGTATTTGCTAGTGGCGATAACCTTCCACCCTGGTAGTGAGACCTCTGGGCCTCTCTGTGAAGAGGGAGATACCTTTCATCATCTGGTCTCAGAGACATCCATTATTTGATACAGTTACGCAAAGGTGGGAGTTTATTAATAATTTTTTTATTAATAATATGCTAGCAGTATTAATAAGATGATTAATTTCCCAGAAACTCTGTCTCTTGAACTTTATGTGTCACAGTATGGTGACCATGAAAGGACTATTATTTTGCATTCTAGGTTTTCAAAAACATTCATTTAGTATTAAACTTTGCCCCCATTACATGTAAAAACAATTTTTAGCATTCTTTTTGTGTATGTGGCAACCAAGGTTAAGTGACTTGCTCAGGGTCCCACAGCTAGTAAGCGTCAAATGTCTGAGACCAGAGTTGAACTCAGGTCCTCCTGATGCTAGGGCTGGTGCTCTATCCACTGTACCATCCAGCTGCCCTAACATTTGTTTTTAAAACTTTGAGTTCCAAATTCTCTCTCTTCTTCCCACCTCACTGAGAAGGCAAGCAATTTGGTATGGTTTATGCATGCGTATTCACGCAAAACATTTCCGTATTAGTCATGTTGTAAAAGAAAACATAGACTAAAAAAAAAAACCCTCAAGAAAAACAAAGAAAGTCAAAAAAGTCTGCTTCCATCTGTATTCAGACATCATCAGTTCTTTCTCTGGGGATGGATAACATTTTTCATCCTAAGTCCTTCAGAGTTGTCTTGGGTTGTTGTATTGCTGAGAATAGCTAAGTTATTCACAGCTGATGACTGAAAAATATTGCTGTTGCTTTGAACGCAGTACATTTCCCTTTGCATCAGCCCATGCGAGTCTTTCCAGGTTTTTTCTGAGAATATCCTGCTCAACATTTCTTAGAACACAATAGTATTCCATCGTACTCACGTTGCACAGTTTGTTCAGCCATTCCCCAATTGATAAGTCTTTCCTTGAGGGTTTCTTTGCTTCTGTAGCCTTCTCTGAAGATGAACTCCAGTCTTCTCTATTCCCATAGAAACTCTATGGTTGGATTCTTTCTCCTTTGGCTGGGCAATTTATTTTTGGTAATACTTTAATTTTCGTAATCACCTCTAGGTGACTGGGCAAGCTGGCATGTCACCCTCTGGGAGGTATGCATAGAGGCCCTTGAGCCCAGTGGGAATATATTTTAAAATCAGTATTATTACCATTTTTGGTTAAAAGGTCAGATCATACTTTTGGTAAAATTTAAGATGACCATTTTTGGTCAAAATGACTGTCCCGGGTAATGATGATGTCACAATGTAGCAGCATTGTTGGGCAAGCTGGCATGTCACCCTCTGGGAGGTATATATAGAGGCCCTTGAGCCCAGTGGGAACAGAATCCCAGAAGTGAGGGGCACTGTAACATCTCCTCCACTAGAAAAGGGAGTGATGCCCTAGAAACTCTGTGCTGAAGGAAATGGCAATGTCCTCAAGGGTTCCTTAGAGCACAGGTTTTAAGTTCATACATACCCTTTAGGGTGAAATGCTCTTGTATTGTAAAGAGACTCCTTAAACCTTGGTAGCCTTATTCGAGCTTGTCTGCAGGACAGGGCCTTTACTCTTCTCAGAAAACTACTAGCACCTCCTTCTGACCCAGAAGCTGGGGGGAAATGGCCATGGCTTTTGTTGGCCCCTTCATGTATCCTTCACATCCAGAGGGACAAAAAATAAATGAAGTTGAACTGTGGCAGTATGGATAGCGCTAGCACTCCTGAACTCAGTGAGTTCAGGAGTGCTAGCGCTATCCATACTGCC